AAAAAAAACGTTAAACAGATAAAATTTAACATCGTAATTTGATTTCCAAGTGGATAATCAATCTCTATTAAGGAATGGGTCTCGCATGCGGTCAAGATCCGGACATTGTCAGGACAATATGCTCCTGGATCAAACAAGCTGTAAAGGTTAGATTAGCTAATTCAATCGTGCACTTTTTGGTAGCACCACAGTCTTCAAGATACTCAACATTCTATTCTCAATTTAGATTCCTTTCTTCCCTAAAATGACTCCTAACATCACCGATATTCGAGCAATAGCTGCAGCAGCTAAAGAAGGCGGTGCGAGCGGAGTTACTGCCACAAATACCGTGTCCGGCTTGATGCACATGAAAGCGGATGGTACTTCTTGGCCAGCAGTTGGTGAAGAAAAAAGGTGAGTAATCAGGGAATGAATCTAAATCAATGAGAATTCTCAAAATCCTGGCAATTTGAGTTTAAGGACCACTTACGGTGGAATGTCCGGCTCGGCAATTCGTCCTATAGCCCTCAAAGCAGTTTCAGCCATAGCAAGAGATTTGAAAGGCTTCCCTATCATGGCCACTGGTGGCATAGAGAGTGCTGAGACTGGACTGGCATTCCTCAACGCTGGAGCTTCAGTTTTACAAGTGAGGGCTTATGGACACATTAGGATCATGCAGATAGTACACCTTACAAATGCACTTCTTTTGGGTGTTGACGCTTGCTGTTGGTTTGCGCAAAAAAGTGGCGCATGCCCAACCTTTACGCATAGTTTTGCGTGACATTTTCTAGGCTTACTAGGCTATACATTTAATTAATTCGTGTAGAAGGCTTTCTTTACAATGACCTTTCCTATTTGTAGGTTTGCTCTGCTGTACAAAATCAAGACTACACCGTTGTGGAAGACTACTGCACTGGCTTACGAGCACTTCTCTATTTGAAAGCAGCTCAATCTTTGCAAAGCTGGGATGGACAAAGCCCGCCTGTCGAAAAACATCAGAGGGGCAAACCTGTTCTCCTCAAAGATTCAGTAAGGGATCTTTCAGATGAGCCATCAGCACTGATGATTTGTTTACAGAGAATACCGTTCTTTGGAAATTACCGTGATGAGCGTGAAAAACTCGAGAAAAGCACATTCACCGCTCCTGTGTCGATGACTGGGGATTTCGCATCTCGTCCAGACATGCCTGTTGGAAAGATTCCGACAGTTCACGTATGTTTCGCCTTTTTTTGATATCCAGACTTTCCTGCCATGACACTGCCTGGTCAGGATATGTGTGCGTACTGGCTCAACCGAGTAAATCTGCCTTTTAACAGTGACAGTAAACCAGTTTGACATATGCAACTGAGAGGATAGTTTTGCTCTGA